CTTCTTGACTTTATTTTCGTTTCTGTTTTTTCTTCTAATGCCTAAACCCCACCTCATATTTCCTAAGAGAGTTTCTTTTCCCAATCCTTTTTCCTATTATTGCCTAATAGCAGATCCTAAACTTTATGCATAAAACAAACTAAAAATATGCAAATAGTTATTTTGGATCGCAGGAAACCAAACTAATGGGGAAAAACAAGTGAAATCATGTTTGTGGCAAGCTTCAAGACCAATTACAGATAAACCAAGAAAGAAACAATTAAAAAGGCAATCAAGCAATTCACAAAAGAGAAGAAGAAAGAACAAAAAATGAACAACAGAAAATGCAGAAAGAAAAAAAAAATTATGAACAATGCACACCTGAAGAAAAGGAAAAATCAAGACTTTATTCTCTTGAAGTCCAAATACAAGTTTCTGTGTTTCCCCTTTCTCTCTCTTCACTCTCGGATCTCTCTTCCTCCAATTTCCTCCCTCTAGAAGCCAAAGGCCCCCCCTTTTTATAGACAAAAGGAAAACCCAATCCTAATGTGCTTCTAATACCCAAATCCCAATCCCTAAGATAACAACTCAATCCCATTTGGAATGGTATTTCTTAGTTTTCCCACATCTACCCTTTTTCTAGTCTAGATTCATACCTTCTATGCTTATAATTCCCTTCTTTGAATCAATTTCGAACTCTTCTTTTGCACCTCTTGTTGATGACTTTCAATCTCCGTAAATTTCTTCAAAACTTGAGTAGATTTAGGGATAAGTCAAGAAAATTTTTGTGATTTTTCTGTTTTGAGAAAGGCTGGCGACAAAGCAAAGAAAGAAACGGGTTTGGGTGGTTAGGGTTTTCAACCTTTATTTCAGCTTACAAGCAAAACGACGTTGTTTTGCTAGTTTATCCTCTCAACCCTTCAAGCTTCACACTTTTTGCAAAAAATGGTCCGTGAGCTTTTACTTTTATCACTTAGCCCCAATTAAAATTGGGTTATGACAGTTGCCCCCTTTTTACTTTTCTTTTGTACAAAAGAAAAGTAAAGAATAAAAGAATAACCCAATTTTAAGCTTTGAAAACAATGTATAAGTGAAAGTTGCAGTCTTCATCTTATCTTTTGCAACATGCTGTCTTCATCTTATCCTTTGTGAGATGTGATCTTCATCTCTCCTTATTCCTTAGATGTGGTCTTCATCTAGGACGTGACTTCTAAGATGCGGTCTTCATCTTATCCTTTGCGAGATGCTGTCTTCATCTTTCCTTCTTCCTTAGATGTGGTCTTCATCTAGGATGTGACTTCTAAGATGCGACTTCTAAGATGCAGTCTTCATCTTATCCTTTGCCAGATGCGATCTTCATCTCTCCTTCTTCCTTAGATGCGGTCTTCATCTAGGATGTGACTTCTAAGATGGGTTCTTCATCTTATCATTTGCGAGATGCGGTGTTCATCTCTCTTTCTTCCTTAGATGTGGTCTTCACCTAGGATGTGACTTGTAAGATGCGGTCTTCATCTTATCCTTTGTAAGATGTGATCTTCATCTCTCCTTCTTCCTTAGATGTGGTCTCCATCTAAGATGCGGTCTTCATCTTATCCTTTGCGAGATGCGATCTTCATCTCTCCTTCTTCCTTAGATGTGGTCTTCATCTAGGATGTGACTTCTAAGATGCAATCTTCATCTTATCCTTTGCAAGATGCGGTCTTCATCTCTCCTTCTTCCTCAAATGCGGTCTTCATCTAGGATGTGACTTTCAAGATGTGGTCTTCATCTAGGATGTGATTTTCTAAGATGCAACTTCGTCTCTCTCCCTTTTTTTTTTTTGTGAGATTAAACTTCATTTCATCTTCTTCTTGAGATGCAACTTCACCTAGGATGTAATTTTCCAAGATGCCAACTTCATCTTTT